TTTCATTATTCTGTATTAATCTTATGAAGATCATCCCGCCTGATTGTTTGTGTATACCAATTAAGGCAGCTCATGTTGGCTATTTATAACAACAAAGCAGGATTTATAAGAAAACGGATGTTATTTAGGAATCGTGTGGGTAGGTCGTTTCAGAATTAATTTACAAAGCTGTTACAGTGAATGTACTAAGTTGCAGGCACTTGAGTATCGAGTTTATGGTCTAATTCGTGATTGTCTTTTTTCTTTCTTTGCGAGGTCGTTCTTAGAATCAACGGGTGTGGTTGTAAAATGACCTCCCATTCGCTACGAACTTATGCCTGAAAGCTTACGGATTTTTAGAAAATTTATGAACCATACTTTTGCAAGATTTTTGTTCTCTTATTAGCGTAGAGTCACCAACTAATGTGCATACTTTATATGACGGTATTAAAGAAGAAAGAACTTTTTAAGAAAGATAAAAATATAACTCTACCGATTCTTTACTTATAAATGAAATGAAATGCTCATTTTGTTAAATATGAGTCTCTTTGTTGATAAAAAATAATGGTGCCCACTATGGATCTTTAATTTGAAACACTATAAGGATATGTATTTTATTCAGCCACTTGACCAAAAGACGCTTAGGCAAGTTTTTTTTAAAAATCATTATCGTCTTTTTTGTGGTTTGGGCAGTTTCTTACAAATCTAATAGCAAATCCTCCATTAGGGTCATAAAAGTAAAATGGTAAAAAGCATTAGGAACACGTGCAATTATTCTTTATTGTGAAAAGATTAATAATTAGAAAACAACAAACTAGTTACTACACGTAATATACTAAAATAACATACCTATATGTAAAAAATTATTACTGATAGTAGGTAACTATTATAGTAGTAGTAATTTTAGCGTAACAGCCACAAATTATGAAGTAATAGTTAATACCCAAAGAATGTAATGTATATCAAATGGCACTGTGTATAAAATCTTACAATTAAATGTTAATTGTTACACGAAGAACGTTTAAAACACTTTCTAAAACGTAAATATTCTTATTACTTGCTAACCTGTCCGCAGTTAATTGCCCTCTAGATATAAATAACATGCATTGTTGCTTCACTTGAGATGTAGTGTAGGTGTTAGGGCAACAATACATAAAGGAATAATATTAAATTCACTTGTTGTTAATTATTATTATATTATTTCAGATATTCATAATTAGATGTAAAGGCGATTAATATTGAACCGTTATGAAATTTTAAATACATTAAAGGAATCACTAAGACTTTAACACCTTCTTTCTAGTCATCTAAACGATCTTGTTTTTAAACAAAACCATTTTATCGAAACCACCATGAAAAGAAACTTCTTAGGGAAAACCTTAACATTTCTAGGTCAGATCAGGCTCTACGAGAGCGTATCATATAAGGCATTTATGAAATATTCTAGTTACAATAGGAAAATCCGAAAATTATTAAGTCTTAGAACTGAATACCCTGATTGATGATGCTGATGATGATTTTATTTAGCATGTTAGAAACAACTCTAGAAACTAGAAACAAATTAGTTGCAGTTCGTCTTTAGAAAATAAAGGGAATATAACTAATATAATACAAAATAGTCATTGCTACATGCGGTTACTGTTGCTGACACTGTAATTAAAATGAAACACTTCGGTGCAATTTAATGGTTGTGTTTAAGTAGTAGTTTTATTACATCCAAAATCGTTAAATCTATTAAATTTGCCATTAAACAACACGATGCTATTGGTGCATTTGCTCACAGAAGAAAGTGGTCAAATATAAACATCAGTGACATTGGAAAGTGACTCTTTCTAGATCAGAACAGGTGTTGTATACAATAATTTGAATCGCTTTTCTGTCAGCTGTTTGGCAGTATATAATATGCTGTATACTTGTATAGATACATACAATATTTAAATGCATATATGTGATTTGTAAATACACCAATACTATGATCTAATAATACGGTAATAAATCTTATTATTAATGAAGCTATAGTTAGGAAGGTCTATAAATCAATTTTCGATTTACCCCGTAAATTAGAGAAATAACTTTTTACCGTGGTGTAGCTAAGAGGGGGAGGCTTTGGAGGCGGTACTGTTTTTATATATTTATATACTCCCAAACCTCCTTAATAAAAGCTTTTAAATCATTTTGACCTCTTTTGAAATGATATATGAGTAAAGTATAGATATAATATTGTCATAACTTTTTGATTTGCTAGGTAGGTAGGTATGTACCATTTACCATTTTATTTATCTTAATGAGAAATTGATGATGTACTTTCATAATCATAAAAATACCAGACAACGTGTCCAAAAACACGTCTACTTTGTAATATCTAATGAAAAACATTAAAAGAAAATTCAACAATCTAAAGCGGTCATATGGAGAGAAATAAGTTGAAATACGTTGACATATAAAACTTCTTGAATAGTATTTCCTTTAATGTTTCAATTTTATCATATTTAAAAATGTTACAGAGGTTTTTTCAACTTTCGAAATAATTTAATTCACTCAAAAGGTTTTTTGGTTTGTTAAAGCCTGATACTTGTTCATTTGAGTAATTATCTTTGTACTGAATAATATTCAGTTTTGCAAATCTTCCCTCCACTTAGAGGTCTTCCATAAACCAGGTGGCTCGAATTTTTATACCATTAGACCTTCCTCCCCCACGTGATGTGCCGTAGCTTTTCGTCCAGCCTCCCTTTAAGGCTTTTACTTGGACCCATCCCCTCTTCCCTTTTATGGTTCAACGTAGCCTTTGTTCGATTAACCCTACGTGGTTTCTGGGAGACCCCTTATTTTGAGGTTCCTGTAGATTTGTGCCAACGAGATTTTAAGTCTCTTCTAAATTGCTTTTTCAAACATAGTTGGGCAACGAAACCATAAATTGGACATAAATTGGATTGTCAAATATTTCATTACCATTAAGGTATGTGACGTTTAACTACTCTATGAAGGAATATATAATAACAGTTAAATAACACCTTTATTAGCCTTTGTGGTGTAAATTAGTTTACTTGATTAGTACACTGTATTAGACATTCAAATGCTACCTAATATGGAATTAATAATGCTAAAATATAAGTTATCAAAACACTCTTAAGCACAATTTGTTTGGGGTTGTAACACCTAATGTGACTATCTCCTTTCATAAGCGCTGGTTTCTCAGTCGATTTATTGCAACAGAGAAACATCTTTTATCATCCCTTATTTCACATACTTAGTCTGAATTCCGCAATCCACATAAGTCAGTGTCTGTGGTGTCTATTTCTGGAACTACTGGACCTATCTTTTGCGTTAAAACTGTTTTATATTCCATCAGGCTTACATAATAGTTAATCTTATAGTAAATACGAATATGAATTTTAAACTACGTCCAAATTTATTTATCAGTTTTAACTTTTATTATTATTAATAACGTTTCATTTTACTATGAAGGGTACTTCAAGGGCTTCAAAATTTTGTCAGTAAACTGATTAACTTGTTTTCAATTGATATCTGCTGGTAAGTGAATAATTTCATATGTTAACCAAATTATTAAGAACAGAATAAGTTCTTTGTCAGTAATTTTTCGACACTATCATACTTAGATCTCAATGTTCTTATTAAAGGCACAGACGTATATTAGTTACTAAGTAAATATTAATATACTACTAATTTCATAATAATGAATACCTAAAAAAATCATTAAGATTAAGCAACATTAGAGAGTTCAATAAAATTTCTAATGTTGTTTACTTTGCTTACTTTGCTTAAGAAACTGGGCATTATTATATTACAAGGGATGTATGCAAAAAATGAAGAACGCAATTGAATCAACTCCATCACACCATTGACGTTAGGAGAATTAGACAAATATTCTATACCTATTCTAAATTAATAAAGAACATAAACTTCTTGGTTAGAAAATCGAAACTACCAAACGTGGATAGCGATTTCAAATTTATCAGTTCTTATCAGCACGGTAACTCACCGGTCTAATCGGAGCTGTTTCACAAAACTAAATTGGCACAATATCAAGGTTTGGAAGTATATCGCCATCTACTGATAATTTTTGTCATTAATTCAGTTTGCTTGGTAGATCACATTTGTAAGCCCCCATTTTGAAGTTTTACCTGCTGCAGTAGATATTTCTAGATGGCGATACGCGGCCTATAGTGTGATATTTGAAATTAAGTAAAAATTCAGCGTATTTATAACATTTTTATAAAAAGAAGCCCATCTACATGAAACGTTGATGTATCATTTAAGTAGAACTAGACACTCTGTACATAAACGCAAGTTATGGTGATTAGATGTATTCATCACGGCAATTTGAATAAATTGCTAGCTATATTTATGCATTTAAATTTAGTATTGCGATACTATTTATAGTCGAATTAGGTAATGCTGTCTGGCAATATTACAAACATTGCAATAACAAATACTAAGTAGGTATTGTTTACATAATTAATGCTAGACAGTTTAGGTTTATGGAAGAATAGTAACTCATAAAAACATAATTTGTTGCAGAATGCTGAACTGAAATTTTTTAACACTACAAAAGACTATATGGTATATTAAAATTAGGTCTAAACTAACGCTTCGGAAATTTAATTTCTTCATCCATCTAAAACCAGTAACTCATATTTGTTCAGAATGTATCCTTATTACTTACTTAATTTAATAGCCCGTTATTTATATAGACGTTTCAACTATTTATATATTAAACGAAGTGTAGATCTGAATCAATTAACATTATAGTTGGGTAATATCTAAAAGGTTAAACATTAGCCAGAGGAATGAAATTTTCAGGCTTGATACGTGCAATCATCAAAGGGCGGTATCATCAAAAGAAAAGAAAAGTCAACACAGAAACGCGTAATTTCTACATTCAGTAAACGTTTTGCTTCATCTGTATCAATTTATTTCATAGAAAATTTTATATTATGTAATTTATTAGTTTGTTACGTTGTCGCCCCACAGTCATTTACTTTTTCTTTTATTATTCTCAGATGCAGCAAGCAATCAGCGGAAAATCAGTTCCAGTAGACACACCATTTCCGAAGAAAAAAGAGTAGCAAATTTCGATTGTCCCGAAGAATTTGGTTACTATCCCCATCCCAACGATTGTACCCAATACTATGTATGTGTTTTTGGTGGTGCCCTTTTGGAATCATGCACAGGAGGCCTTATGTACAGGTAAATAATATAATTTAGTAAAAAATGCAAACGTAAATTGAAATGTTGTTTTATCCTAATTAAATGGATATAATAGAGTTCTTTGTAGTGCGTTCTACTTCTAGCTTATTCTTCAGCATATTAGCTTTCTAGATTTCATTGGCATTGACCCTAATCAGAATTAGTAGTAGGTAACGCCAATTAAATGTGGAAATTTGCTTATGTTTGCTTTTTAATACACATGTTGCTGTGTAACCTTGTAAACAATTTGTAGCCAATTGAAACCGAAAACCGTGAAGATTTTCTTGATCTTTTTTACTCAACCATTTAAAATTTAACTTGTGCATAATAGTACGTATCTATTTAATCTATGTGAAATAAAATTAAATGAAAAATATGTTCATCGTTTATGCATTTAGTTAGCTAGTACCCGCGACTTCACGCGAGTGGAATTTGATTAAATGACTACCCCTATTTTACACCTTTAGTGTCATTATATAATGGATGATATTGTTGTATAATGAACATTTGTGCAATATTGTAAGCTTCATGACTCAACGGTTTTGGTTGTAGCTTTATCGATGGAACCCCTTTTTCAGTCTTTTAGGGAATAAATTTAATGTTCCTTTCTTAGATTTCGCCTACGTTGTAATAGAAATGTCTTTTCAAGTATTTAGACTTAGGAGTTTACACAGTGCTTTGATATAGCGGTAAAAAGTTAATTGGGTTAGAACTTTTATTATTGAGCCAAATAAATATCAAATTCAACTTACTATTTTTAAACGATTTACAAGAAAGACTCAACAGAACGATTTATCTATACATTATTATAAATTGACTTATTATATTAGTATGTATTTAAAATTTTTACAAACAATCCAAATCATAGTAGGTAATAAAGAAATTTATTGCATTTCTTTTCGTTAATATTTGTGAACAATTAACATTCGGTGTTGTCATTTTATTATTTTAATTAAAATAAATACAGGGTTTTCGCTTGTTGTTTAACATTTTTTTTTACTTAAGCCATGAACTTCAAACATGTGATTGGCCAAGAAACGTTGGCTGTGAAGGATTANTCTTATTTTTCATTTTCTTTTTCTTTTTGTGATGTTGCTCTCCATTTTCCTTTTTTGCCTGGTTGATTAAAGCCTGACTACGCACTCACCATAATCTATGAGTCTGTTCTCGTCGGTTAATTGACCTTTCTGGAATTAGCTGGTTATTGAGGCATCTAAATGAAGGATAGAATCAGGGAACTTACTAACTCACCTACTGCTGATATTCAAGGCTTACTATACAGATGTTTCATACAGTATGGTTACTCCTTTGATCTAACCTAAAATGCCGGCTTTTTTGCAAGCGGTCATAAATCAATTTTATGTATAGATGCAGAATTTATCTGTACCTACTGTGGCTTTACGATGACACTCTGTACAAAACACCCTGCTTAAAGGGAAATTCGTCAATGAAGTGGCGAATTGTCGGAAGAGAGAGATTTTAAGGCATATGAAGGGAGTGAACGTACTGTTTAAAATATATATTTATAATGTGTCCAGGATGTTGTCATATAATCGGATGTCAAACGGGTATACATAAACATTAGATAGGATGATAAGGTGCTAGTGGGCGTACATGTTGTAGACAAATGCTCAGTTTACATAATACATATGTGCTACTGGGAAACTGTTGTTAATGATTTGATATTCCCTTCAAAAATGCACAAAGGAAAAGGTTACCTCCTACTAATGGTAGAAATCTTCAACCATATCTTTTTTAATGATTACAGGGTGTCTGCAATCATAAATATTGCTTGGTTGTTCATAACTCATATACTTAACAGATTCAGTGGACGTTGCAGTAATTATTATTTATTGGAAAGGGCCGTCAGATATGATTTTAAGTGGTACTTGGTTGGCTTCATTCACTTTTATTTCAGATCCAGTATTATACGTACCTATATGCTTCGACCTTTTCATTATTCTGTATTAATCTTATGAAGATCATCCCGCCTGATTGTTTGTGTATACCAATTAAGGCAGCTCATGTTGGCTATTTATAACAACAAAGCAGGATTTATAAGAAAACGGATGTTATTTAGGAATCGTGTGGGTAGGTCGTTTCAGAATTAATTTACAAAGCTGTTACAGTGAATGTACTAAGTTGCAGGCACTTGAGTATCGAGTTTATGGTCTAATTCGTGATTGTCTTTTTTCTTTCTTTGCGAGGTCGTTCTTAGAATCAACGGGTGTGGTTGTAAAATGACCTCCCATTCGCTACGAACTTATGCCTGAAAGCTTACGGATTTTTAGAAAATTTATGAACCATACTTTTGCAAGATTTTTGTTCTCTTATTAGCGTAGAGTCACCAACTAATGTGCATACTTTATATGACGGTATTAAAGAAGAAAGAACTTTTTAAGAAAGATAAAAATATAACTCTACCGATTCTTTACTTATAAATGAAATGAAATGCTCATTTTGTTAAATATGAGTCTCTTTGTTGATAAAAAATAATGGTGCCCACTATGGATCTTTAATTTGAAACACTATAAGGATATGTATTTTATTCAGCCACTTGACCAAAAGACGCTTAGGCAAGTTTTTTTTAAAAATCATTATCGTCTTTTTTGTGGTTTGGGCAGTTTCTTACAAATCTAATAGCAAATCCTCCATTAGGGTCATAAAAGTAAAATGGTAAAAAGCATTAGGAACACGTGCAATTATTCTTTATTGTGAAAAGATTAATAATTAGAAAACAACAAACTAGTTACTACACGTAATATACTAAAATAACATACCTATATGTAAAAAATTATTACTGATAGTAGGTAACTATTATAGTAGTAGTAATTTTAGCGTAACAGCCACAAATTATGAAGTAATAGTTAATACCCAAAGAATGTAATGTATATCAAATGGCACTGTGTATAAAATCTTACAATTAAATGTTAATTGTTACACGAAGAACGTTTAAAACACTTTCTAAAACGTAAATATTCTTATTACTTGCTAACCTGTCCGCAGTTAATTGCCCTCTAGATATAAATAACATGCATTGTTGCTTCACTTGAGATGTAGTGTAGGTGTTAGGGCAACAATACATAAAGGAATAATATTAAATTACGCTTCGTATGAACTGACCTATAGATGAAAAATCTTGGAAAATATTGATTTATAATAATCGCAGCATAAAAATGCAAATAAGTAACAATCACCGTTATACATTAAATACGACTTTATATACTGTAATGTCTTACTGAGGTGCTTGTTATAGTAGTCAAACACATATGAAATTTGCTGTTTATTTTATTTGGAAAAAATTGGATTTTGCTATAGTTAATTAGATATATTTTGAAAACACATTGAATTGCATTCACACATCGCTTCTATTTTCAGTAGTAATCTCAAATTGTTAATCCATTTTTCTAGTACAGCATGGTGCTATTGTACTTCAGTTACATAATACGTCAATATTAAAAAAATCTGTGCATCCATTTTGAATTAACGTGACCTTTACAATAAAAATACAATAGCAAGTTTGTAGGTGTCATATTGTGATCATGTGCGATCTGCAATAGATATAATGTATGCTTATTTCTTTAGCCATAAAACTTTCGGCTTCTTTTCAATCCATCTTTGTATNATACATTATTATAAATTGACTTATTATATTAGTATGTATTTAAAATTTTTACAAACAATCCAAATCATAGTAGGTAATAAAGAAATTTATTGCATTTCTTTTCGTTAATATTTGTGAACAATTAACATTCGGTGTTGTCATTTTATTATTTTAATTAAAATAAATACAGGGTTTTCGCTTGTTGTTTAACATTTTTTTTTACTTAAGCCATGAACTTCAAACATGTGATTGGCCAAGAAACGTTGGCTGTGAAGGATTAGACATCGCAGCTGTTACATTGTCCTCCTCGTCAGTTTCCGCCACATCTGCACCTTTAAGATCCGACTCACGACAGAGATATTCTCATCCTCCACCACCTCCACCACCCCAACCCCAAGCTGTGGTAACATCTAGAGGACAACCTAGGAAGCTGCATCATGAAATTATTAATAATAAGGTATGATTATCAACAACGATTGGCCAAATAGTCATACGAAAGGTAAATATAAAATAATTCTTCTAGCAACAACAACAACAGCAATTGTATGTTGATGAAGAAGAATCTTATCCACCTGCTGAAGAGATTGAGAATGATGCACCTCAAAGGGTTCTCAGAGGTCAGCCGTCAACCATTGGTCAAGTCCAGAGAGATAGAGACGGTCTAAGGCATGGCAATGCAATCCCAGTAAGAAAATACCTACCTTCTTTTCATACGTCCCAGTTTAATTATTAATAATGATTTTGTTAATAGACTTCTAGTGGTCGTGGTGGGGAAAAAATTGGTGTAATATCTTTTGGAACCCAACAACAGACACTTCAAAATTACAGGTATGAGATTATAATAAAGCCATTATATCATTTGTAACTGTTTCATTATTCATCAGTGTAAAACCCGACTACGAAGACGACATTTTACTAACAAACGACATAGAGACTAAGAAAACGAGACGAAAACGAGAGACAGACACCCAAAGGTAAAGTCAGACGAAATTAGTACTGACATAATTGATTAACTTGATTTTTAGCTTTATTGCCAGCCGAGATACAAATTCTTGGAAGCCAATACCTAAACCCAATCCCCCTTACGATTATAACCCTTACAATTTACGCCCCCCTCCATTACCAAATAGTGCAGTAGCTTCAAATCAGAGTGTTAACCCCATTCAATCTCCTGCACCAAAGCAGTTTGAAGTTCCTTCGACAAAACCTCCACCAACTCCATTCCAAGTGCAACATGAAGCAAATGACAGACGACTACGACAACCCGTAAAATCAGTAAAACCGCATCAGTTTGAAGTATCGCCTCAATTACCTGCGTCTGAACAACATACTCCATTGAATGTTAGGCAATATCCGACGAACAGACACACTCAGAATCGACATCAGCATCGACAGACAGCAACAAATCATCCTAGAAATCCAAATGGTAGAAGATTTAGAGTTCCCAGTTCTATACAGAATGTAGCAGCACAGCCACTACAGCAGAAAGAAACCTTCAAGGCCAATGCTCCTCAACTCGGTACAAGGGAATCACCTTTTAAAAGCAGTGCTCAACAAATTTCTTCGCTACAACAAAGTGCAAGAGAGTCTTCCATTAAAGACAATGATCCTCAAATTTCTTCATTACAGCAAAGTCCAAGAGAATCTTCTTTTAAAAGCAATACAGCCCAGACTTCTTTATTACAACAAAATCCAAGAGAATCTTCTTTTAAAAGCAATACAGCCCAGACTTCTTTATTGCAACAAAATCCAAGAGAATCTTCTTTTAAAAGCAATACACNCCTGTCCGCAGTTAATTGCCCTCTAGATATAAATAACATGCATTGTTGCTTCACTTGAGATGTAGTGTAGGTGTTAGGGCAACAATACATAAAGGAATAATATTAAATTCACTTGTTGTTAATTATTATTATATTATTTCAGATATTCATAATTAGATGTAAAGGCGATTAATATTGAACCGTTATGAAATTTTAAATACATTAAAGGAATCACTAAGACTTTAACACCTTCTTTCTAGTCATCTAAACGATCTTGTTTTTAAACAAAACCATTTTATCGAAACCACCATGAAAAGAAACTTCTTAGGGAAAACCTTAACATTTCTAGGTCAGATCAGGCTCTACGAGAGCGTATCATATAAGGCATTTATGAAATATTCTAGTTACAATAGGAAAATCCGAAAATTATTAAGTCTTAGAACTGAATACCCTGATTGATGATGCTGATGATGATTTTATTTAGCATGTTAGAAACAACTCTAGAAACTAGAAACAAATTAGTTGCAGTTCGTCTTTAGAAAATAAAGGGAATATAACTAATATAATACAAAATAGTCATTGCTACATGCGGTTACTGTTGCTGACACTGTAATTAAAATGAAACACTTCGGTGCAATTTAATGGTTGTGTTTAAGTAGTAGTTTTATTACATCCAAAATCGTTAAATCTATTAAATTTGCCATTAAACAACACGATGCTATTGGTGCATTTGCTCACAGAAGAAAGTGGTCAAATATAAACATCAGTGACATTGGAAAGTGACTCTTTCTAGATCAGAACAGGTGTTGTATACAATAATTTGAATCGCTTTTCTGTCAGCTGTTTGGCAGTATATAATATGCTGTATACTTGTATAGATACATACAATATTTAAATGCATATATGTGATTTGTAAATACACCAATACTATGATCTAATAATACGGTAATAAATCTTATTATTAATGAAGCTATAGTTAGGAAGGTCTATAAATCAATTTTCGATTTACCCCGTAAATTAGAGAAATAACTTTTTACCGTGGTGTAGCTAAGAGGGGGAGGCTTTGGAGGCGGTACTGTTTTTATATATTTATATACTCCCAAACCTCCTTAATAAAAGCTTTTAAATCATTTTGACCTCTTTTGAAATGATATATGAGTAAAGTATAGATATAATATTGTCATAACTTTTTGATTTGCTAGGTAGGTAGGTATGTACCATTTACCATTTTATTTATCTTAATGAGAAATTGATGATGTACTTTCATAATCATAAAAATACCAGACAACGTGTCCAAAAACACGTCTACTTTGTAATATCTAATGAAAAACATTAAAAGAAAATTCAACAATCTAAAGCGGTCATATGGAGAGAAATAAGTTGAAATACGTTGACATATAAAACTTCTTGAATAGTATTTCCTTTAATGTTTCAATTTTATCATATTTAAAAATGTTACAGAGGTTTTTTCAACTTTCGAAATAATTTAATTCACTCAAAAGGTTTTTTGGTTTGTTAAAGCCTGATACTTGTTCATTTGAGTAATTATCTTTGTACTGAATAATATTCAGTTTTGCAAATCTTCCCTCCACTTAGAGGTCTTCCATAAACCAGGTGGCTCGAATTTTTATACCATTAGACCTTCCTCCCCCACGTGATGTGCCGTAGCTTTTCGTCCAGCCTCCCTTTAAGGCTTTTACTTGGACCCATCCCCTCTTCCCTTTTATGGTTCAACGTAGCCTTTGTTCGATTAACCCTACGTGGTTTCTGGGAGACCCCTTATTTTGAGGTTCCTGTAGATTTGTGCCAACGAGATTTTAAGTCTCTTCTAAATTGCTTTTTCAAACATAGTTGGGCAACGAAACCATAAATTGGACATAAATTGGATTGTCAAATATTTCATTACCATTAAGGTATGTGACGTTTAACTACTCTATGAAGGAATATATAATAACAGTTAAATAACACCTTTATTAGCCTTTGTGGTGTAAATTAGTTTACTTGATTAGTACACTGTATTAGACATTCAAATGCTACCTAATATGGAATTAATAATGCTAAAATATAAGTTATCAAAACACTCTTAAGCACAATTTGTTTGGGGTTGTAACACCTAATGTGACTATCTCCTTTCATAAGCGCTGGTTTCTCAGTCGATTTATTGCAACAGAGAAACATCTTTTATCATCCCTTATTTCACATACTTAGTCTGAATTCCGCAATCCACATAAGTCAGTGTCTGTGGTGTCTATTTCTGGAACTACTGGACCTATCTTTTGCGTTAAAACTGTTTTATATTCCATCAGGCTTACATAATAGTTAATCTTATAGTAAATACGAATATGAATTTTAAACTACGTCCAAATTTATTTATCAGTTTTAACTTTTATTATTATTAATAACGTTTCATTTTACTATGAAGGGTACTTCAAGGGCTTCAAAATTTTGTCAGTAAACTGATTAACTTGTTTTCAATTGATATCTGCTGGTAAGTGAATAATTTCATATGTTAACCAAATTATTAAGAACAGAATAAGTTCTTTGTCAGTAATTTTTCGACACTATCATACTTAGATCTCAATGTTCTTATTAAAGGCACAGACGTATATTAGTTACTAAGTAAATATTAATATACTACTAATTTCATAATAATGAATACCTAAAAAAATCATTAAGATTAAGCAACATTAGAGAGTTCAATAAAATTTCTAATGTTGTTTACTTTGCTTACTTTGCTTAAGAAACTGGGCATTATTATATTACAAGGGATGTATGCAAAAAATGAAGAACGCAATTGAATCAACTCCATCACACCATTGACGTTAGGAGAATTAGACAAATATTCTATACCTATTCTAAATTAATAAAGAACATAAACTTCTTGGTTAGAAAATCGAAACTACCAAACGTGGATAGCGATTTCAAATTTATCAGTTCTTATCAGCACGGTAACTCACCGGTCTAATCGGAGCTGTTTCACAAAACTAAATTGGCACAATATCAAGGTTTGGAAGTATATCGCCATCTACTGATAATTTTTGTCATTAATTCAGTTTGCTTGGTAGATCACATTTGTAAGCCCCCATTTTGAAGTTTTACCTGCTGCAGTAGATATTTCTAGATGGCGATACGCGGCCTATAGTGTGATATTTGAAATTAAGTAAAAATTCAGCGTATTTATAACATTTTTATAAAAAGAAGCCCATCTACATGAAACGTTGATGTATCATTTAAGTAGAACTAGACACTCTGTACATAAACGCAAGTTATGGTGATTAGATGTATTCATCACGGCAATTTGAATAAATTGCTAGCTATATTTATGCATTTAAATTTAGTATTGCGATACTATTTATAGTCGAATTAGGTAATGCTGTCTGGCAATATTACAAACATTGCAATAACAAATACTAAGTAGGTATTGTTTACATAATTAATGCTAGACAGTTTAGGTTTATGGAAGAATAGTAACTCATAAAAACATAATTTGTTGCAGAATGCTGAACTGAAATTTTTTAACACTACAAAAGACTATATGGTATATTAAAATTAGGTCTAAACTAACGCTTCGGAAATTTAATTTCTTCATCCATCTAAAACCAGTAACTCATATTTGTTCAGAATGTATCCTTATTACTTACTTAATTTAATAGCCCGTTATTTATATAGACGTTTCAACTATTTATATATTAAACGAAGTGTAGATCTGAATCAATTAACATTATAGTTGGGTAATATCTAAAAGGTTAAACATTAGCCAGAGGAATGAAATTTTCAGGCTTGATACGTGCAATCATCAAAGGGCGGTATCATCAAAAGAAAAGAAAAGTCAACACAGAAACGCGTAATTTCTACATTCAGTAAACGTTTTGCTTCATCTGTATCAATTTATTTCATAGAAAATTTTATATTATGTAATTTATTAGTTTGTTACGTTGTCGCCCCACAGTCATTTACTTTTTCTTTTATTATTCTCAGATGCAGCAAGCAATCAGCGGAAAATCAGTTCCAGTAGACACACCATTTCCGAAGAAAAAAGAGTAGCAAATTTCGATTGTCCCGAAGAATTTGGTTACTATCCCCATCCCAACGATTGTACCCAATACTATGTATGTGTTTTTGGTGGTGCCCTTTTGGAATCATGCACAGGAGGCCTTATGTACAGGTAAATAATATAATTTAGTAAAAAATGCAAACGTAAATTGAAATGTTGTTTTATCCTAATTAAATGGATATAATAGAGTTCTTTGTAGTGCGTTCTACTTCTAGCTTATTCTTCAGCATATTAGCTTTCTAGATTTCATTGGCATTGACCCTAATCAGAATTAGTAGTAGGTAACGCCAATTAAATGTGGAAATTTGCTTATGTTTGCTTTTTAATACACATGTTGCTGTGTAACCTTGTAAACAATTTGTAGCCAATTGAAACCGAAAACCGTGAAGATTTTCTTGATCTTTTTTACTCAACCATTTAAAATTTAACTTGTGCATAATAGTACGTATCTATTTAATCTATGTGAAATTAAATTAAATGAAAAATATGTTCATCGTTTATGCATTTAGTTAGCTAGTACCCGCGACTTCACGCGAGTGGAATTTGATTAAATGACTACCCCTATTTTACACCTTTAGTGTCATTATATAATGGATGATATTGTTGTATAATGAACATTTGTGCAATATTGTAAGCTTCATGACTCAACGGTTTTGGTTGTAGCTTTATCGATGGAACCCCTTTTTCAGTCTTTTAGGGAATAAATTTAATGTTCCTTTCTTAGATTTCGCCTACGTTGTAATAGAAATGTCTTTTCAAGTATTTAGACTTAGGAGTTTACACAGTGCTTTGATATAGCGGTAAAAAGTTAATTGGGTTAGAACTTTTATTATTGAGCCAAATAAATATCAAATTCAACTTACTATTTTTAAACGATTTACAAGAAAGACTCAACAGAACGATTTATCTATACATTATTATAAATTGACTTATTATATTAGTATGTATTTAAAATTTTTACAAACAATCCAAATCATAGTAGGTAATAAAGAAATTTATTGCATTTCTTTTCGTTAATATTTGTGAACAATTAACATTCGGTGTTGTCATTTTATTATTTTAATTAAAATAAATACAGGGTTTTCGCTTGTTGTTTAACATTTTTTTTTACTTAAGCCATGAACTTCAAACATGTGATTGGCCAAGAAACGTTGGCTGTGAAGGATTAGACATCGCAGCTGTTACATTGTCCTCCTCGTCAGTTTCCGCCACATCTGCACCTTTAAGATCCGACTCACGACAGAGATATTCTCATCCTCCACCACCTCCACCACCCCAACCCCAAGCTGTGGTAACATCTAGAGGACAACCTAGGAAGCTGCATCATGAAATTATTAATAATAAGGTATGATTATCAACAACGATTGGCCAAATAGTCATACGAAAGGTAAATATAAAATAATTCTTCTAGCAACAACAACAACAGCAATTGTATGTTGATGAAGAAGAATCTTATCCACCTGCTGAAGAGATTGAGAATGATGCACCTCAAAGGGTTCTCAGAGGTCAGCCGTCAACCATTGGTCAAGTCCAGAGAGATAGAGACGGTCTAAGGCATGGCAATGCAATCCCAGTAAGAAAATACCTACCTTCTTTTCATACGTCCCAGTTTAATTATTAATAATGATTTTGTTAATAGACTTCTAGTGGTCGTGGTGGGGAAAAAATTGGTGTAATATCTTTTGGAACCCAACAACAGACACTTCAAAATTACAGGTATGAGATTATAATAAAGCCATTATATCATTTGTAACTGTTTCATTATTCATCAGTGTAAAACCCGACTACGAAGACGACATTTTACTAACAAACGACATAGAGACTAAGAAAACGAGACGAAAACGAGAGACAGACACCCAAAGGTAAAGTCAGACGAAATTAGTACTGACATAATTGATTAACTTGATTTTTAGCTTTATTGCCAGCCGAGATACAAATTCTTGGAAGCCAATACCTAAACCCAATCCCCCTTACGATTATAACCCTTACAATTTACGCCCCCCTCCATTACCAAATAGTGCAGTAGCTTCAAATCAGAGTGTTAACCCCATTCAATCTCCTGCACCAAAGCAGTTTGAAGTTCCTTCGACAAAACCTCCACCAACTCCATTCCAAGTGCAACATGAAGCAAATGACAGACGACTACGACAACCCGTAAAATCAGTAAAACCGCATCAGTTTGAAGTATCGCCTCAATTACCTGCGTCTGAACAACATACTCCATTGAATGTTAGGCAATATCCGACGAACAGACACACTCAGAATCGACATCAGCATCGACAGACAGCAACAAATCATCCTAGAAATCCAAATGGTAGAAGATTTAGAGTTCCCAGTTCTATACAGAATGTAGCAGCACAGCCACTACAGCAGAAAGAAACCTTCAAGGCCAATGCTCCTCAACTCGGTACAAGGGAATCACCTTTTAAAAGCAGTGCTCAACAAATTTCTTCGCTACAACAAAGTGCAAGAGAGTCTTCCATTAAAGACAATGATCCTCAAATTTCTTCATTACAGCAAAGTCCAAGAGAATCTTCTTTTAAAAGCAATACAGCCCAGACTTCTTTATTACAACAAAATCCAAGAGAATCTTCTTTTAAAAGCAATACAGCCCAGACTTCTTTATTACAACAAAATCCAAGAGAATCTTCTTTTAAAAGCAATACAGCCCAGACTTCTTTATTACAACAAAATCCAAGAGAATCTTCTTTTAAAAGCAATACAGCCCAGACTTCTTTATTACAACAAAATCCAAGAGAATCTTCTTTTAAAAGCAATACACCCCAAACTTCTTTATTGCAACAAAATCCAAGAGAATCTTCTTCATTGCAGCATGTAACAAAAGAATCCTCCTTTAAAGGCAACGCCCTTCAAACGACTCCTTTGCATCGTGTTACGGGGGAAAGCTTTAAAAGCAATGCCCCTCAAACCTCACAATTGCAACATAGTACAAGGAACTCTTTTCGAAGTAATAATCCTCAAACTTCTAGTCAGCAATTAAGGGGTGTACAACAAAACATTGTAAATTATCAAATAAAACCGCAACAAAATCACCAGCATCAACGTGTGAGAACTGAAACAATACAACTATCAGGTCGAACAGAACCATCCGTTCGAACCGAAGCACAGACTGAGCAGCCCCTTGAAAATAAGGAAGCTGTTACATTAAAAGACGGCCAAGAAACGAAAACTGAAAAGGCTCAAGAAGAAACTGCTAAAGAAGAAGAAGGTGAAGAAGAAGAAGAGGAGGAGGAGGAGGAGGAAGAAGAAGACGCGGAAGAGGGAGGAAACGCTGAAGAAGAGCCAGAAGAAGAACAACAAGAAGAAACGACCGAGAAAGAGGCATCCAAAGATGAAGATTCGAGCAAGGATGATATTGCAGTCGATTTCCCACCACCTCCGTCTTATTTCCTAGATAGCGAAAACAAATACGAAAATATAGTTAATCCATTCGCAGATCCTGATTTTGATTTTGACAAATTTTTAGAAGGTTTTACTGATCGTACATCAAGAATGTTTGCAACAACTACACCCTTATATCCAGTTCATAGGTTAATCCCACCTAGAACTAATGATATATTCCGAAATTTCAGTACAAATGGAAAAGCCTTTATAAAGCCAACAATAAATAATAATAATAATAATAATACACCTAGAAATGTAATAACTCATTCTAACGTTCCTCATCAAAAAGTTTCAAACCATAGGTATGAACCGGTCAAAGTTCACAGCCAACACAACGTTCCCATTAGTAGAGGTGTTCCATTTAGCCGTATTAGCACAAAGCAAGGAGTATCGCGTAGAAATGTACCTAGGGTTAAATTAGACAATACAGAACAACAAGTTGCTAAAGAATCGCAATCACATTATAGCAAAATGATTCCAACATCAACGGAAGTATCTGAAAAAGAAAAACCATCTAGAAGCATAACTCCATACAGTGAGGGCGCCAAGAGAAATACTAAAAGGTCTCAAGACTACGTAGTGAGTACAGTTAAGCCATTCAGAGGAACAAGTAGATTTATACATACAGCAACACCAAAACCAAAGAAAGCTACTAAAGTAAAGAAAGCCCATCCTTCATCAGATGATTATTATTTTTATGATGAAATAAAAGAAGTAACTGAGATTGTGGAAGTTACTGTAAAACCAGATGGGAAACACCCAACGACAATTAAAAAATCTGATGGAGCATTGGATGATTACTATTATGAATATTATTATGATGATGAACCTCAGCCTGCGGACCCCTTAAAAACCATTCCATCATCAAATGTTTCTCCACAGGAAACGAACACGGAAATAAGGAAGGAAGACAAAATTGTTAATGAGCCTCATCAAAAGCATAGTAGTACCTTTTTTATATATTTAGACCCAAAGAATGCCCAAAAGGAACAGTCTCGGAAACAAGGAATTCCCAAAGAGGAGTCTCTCATGAAAAAGTCAAACAAAAACGAAAGTCAAACCGTTCTTCCTACAGATAATACTGCAAAGAATACAAACAAAGAATCTTTTACTGAAAAAGGACCACCAACAAATGAACCTCATATTATATCCTCTACCGCTATTCCTATCCTTGACAGAGTAAAAAACGACATTTTACCAACAAACGACACAGTTAACTTGGACCGAAGCAGCGAAAGACAACAAACGAACAACAACAAACGATTTATTGACAAAGCTACACAAGAAGACTCAAACAGGTAAATGTTTTTAAATCGTAAATACCACATATCATACCAACACTTTTTCATACATAGTTACAGTGATAGTTTGAATATGAGCTTCAAGATTCTCTTTCAGGACGAGGTATCTATAAAATAACAATACCGCCGACGAAATATTTGCGACTGTTGCTGCTGTTACTCATTCGTCGGAAACCGAATCCAGATCCGTGGCTTTACGTACCATTGCTCTTCCACTAAACTACGACAGATGACAGCAGCAACAACGACGATAAGTACAAAAATTTTTGTAGGGTTAATTTCAATACATTAATGTGAAATAATTTTTACTACTAGATACTCATTAATGAAAAAATAATTTGAGATTATCTGTAGTGGTAAAAATTAATTTAATGTATTGAAATTAACCCTACAAAAATTCTTCTAAACTGTGTCAGTGTTAATAATGATGATAATTGGTTCGACGATTCTATGACCTTCGTAGTTAGGTACTTATCGTCGTTGTTGCTACTGTCACCTCTCATACCTTAGTGGTAGAACAACGGTTGACAAAGCCAGGTTCTGGGGTTCGATTCTCGGCGAGGGCGTGACAGCAGCAACAATTTTTCTCATTAATTTGAGGTTATCTGTAGTGGTAAAAATTAATTCACTTTAATGTATTGAAATTAATCTTACAAAAATTCAACTAAAAGGTCTCACAGTATATACAATTATGCCGAAAAAATCAATTATAATTGAAACTGTGTACATAATATACACAGTACCAAGGCGGAAACAAAAAAGGAGAAGGAATATGGGAAAGTTCCATACCCTTTATGCAGAATGCAGTTTCGTCTTTATACAACTGTAGTATTATTTGATAAAATGCAGTAAATCTTAATAGTAAGAGCAATAAAAGCATTCGAAATTCATACGCGGCATCGCCGCAGGTATGACGGTATACCTCAAACATGTCGCCGGCCTAAAGCTTGACTGATTGTTGTCTACAGTAAAGAAACCGTATTTTGTTTATTTGCAGGTTCCTGTTGTTTTTGACTTTTAGGTGTATTTCCAAAACAGTAGACGAAAGTTTAAGTAAAATCGATAGTCAATGAGTTTCACGAAATATTGAGAATTAAGCTAACGTTTAAAACAAGCAAATTTTTAATTTCCATCGCAGTAGTCTCAATAATGCAATTACATATTTGATTTCCAATTAAATGAATGAAAAGTATTACGGAATTAATCGCTTGTAGCTGGCCTTAAGTAGAGCCGAAAATAAAATGTATCTATAATTAAATATTATCAAAAGCCAATATAAATATCGACTCTTCTTACCATTGTATATTGATTTTCACTTCTTTATTACTAATTAGATGTTTCATTCTGACTTAAAAATAGGTAAACATTGTTACACTTAGTTGTATGCCCATATACGTAAAAATGAAGGTAACGAAATTATTTAACCTTTTAAAGATACTGCAGACGTAATCAATTACACGTAGTCTCGTATAGTTCTAAAAAGAAGTACAACATGCACATAATGATAGCATTCTAATGTCAATTATGTTATAAAATTTATTCTTGTATTTACCTACTTAAACGTTACCAATTTTTATGGAATTTACCAGCTATCTACTTTTAAATTATACAAAATTGATGTACCTAATATATCATCATATTGGAAATAATCAATGAAATTGACAATGTCAAAATAATTGAACATGTCTTTCATTTTTCTTAGTAAGAACTATAACAAACAAATTGTTTGATTAAATGAAATTGCTTTAACTTTGTACGTTGAATTAATACAGTTTGTTCCCATAAAGGAATCCAATATGGTCGATTTCAAAGTCGAAGAACATTATAACCGCAGTGGATTATTACCCAAACATGATAATCATATTCTACTAAATAAACTTCCCTAAAACTAACGAATACTTACAAATTATTTATTATTTAATCAAATAAAACTTCATAAATACTCAAACCTAAAAAGAATTTACAGAATTTAACTGAATGAATAATGACATTAGTTATCCAAATAACTATATGTATGTTATAGGGTAGAAGACGCTAGCCCAAGTCCACCCCCAAGAAAAATAGTAACAACTGCTACTCCAGCAAGAATTTCTTATAACGAAAGTCAATCATACAATTCCAAATATGACCCGTACTACGCTCTTTATGACGAAGATGTAGATTTATATCGTGATATCGGTAAGCAATTCATTTTGTAATTGTTGTTGTCCTTCAGATTTGTGTACTTTTTTGTTTTTAGAATATACTCAGCAGTACTCAAATAATCCTACGCAACGTACTAATCAGCAGCCTGCTTACAAAGCTACCCCAGCTCCTGTGGTTATAGCTCAAGAACCTGCACCAAAACGAACCATCGAACAATATGTAAGCCGAAATGCGTATAGCACCCCACAAGATATCTACGACAGCAGAGGAGTACAAGATTATGATGATAACAGTTACAATAGTCAGGTAGGATTACTTTTGGAATTGATATCAGCTTTTAAAGTATTCAAAAAGGGTAATAAAAAAACAGTGATGGTTCGTGTCTTTAAAAATAGGTGAAAAGCTGCAAAAAAAAAACGAGAAAAAGTAAACCTAGAGTTAGGACAGTACCTACGTCCTCGAATATTCCTCGGAACGTTTGCCAGGGAATCTGTCGAACAATATCAATATTTTTAGTTATTTAGCGTTATTCTGGGACGAGTGGGGAACACTAGGTTTACAATTTTTTCGCCGACTTCCTCGCTGTTGTGACAACTGGTTAAAACTCCTACCTCCTCACTTACAATTAGTCATTTATTACGTACTTGAAGTGAAACATTAAAAAGCGTATGCTTTTTTAAAGGAAATTTCATTTATTGTAAAACAAAGAATATAACAGAAACTTTATTCATTTTATGGTAACTGAATACTATCCAGAAAATAAGTGAAGAGGTTCTACGCATACTTCACCTCATTAATCGTCATCAATACAGAAACCCATACACCTATATGATTTGTGTAATGACATCGTCAATGTTTTGAGTGGTGTGAAAAAAAAGCGTGATTTATTCACTGTTATGTTCGTCTTTCGAAATTTGTCATTTCTATAGACATGGAAAAAAGTTTCTTGCAAATTTTGAACGTCCTCGGTCATTAAATCGTAATGTGAATTTTTCTATAATGATGAAGAATTTTCATATTCATCAAACACATTCTTAGTTAATAGTTATAGTTAATTTATTTTTCGAATAAAGATACTAAAATGACATTTGAAATGAATACACAAAATCCACAAAAATACAATTAACTGGTTAAGGAACATATAACATCGAAAAGTTAGCAACTCATTCAAAAATAAAATTGGTTAATTTAGAATGTAAAATAGCAAGTAGTTCAAGCAAAATAATAAGATATTTATTTAATAAGTCAACATTTTATATTAATATGGAACTTGTACTGTTAAATTCAGCTATCTTATACCTAACATTAGAAAAAGTCCAAAAATATCTGTCTCTTATTTTGAAAATTAACTTTCCCCTGATGCTGGTTAGAATTTTGGCTCAACCTACTCACTAACAATAGCATTATTCTATAAGGTAAATAGGTATAGATTCATTTTAAAATCATTAGAATGCCACTAGTCAACGGATAAATCCGAATGACATCGCTAGTTAATGCTTTTCTTAATTTATTTTTTAGGTATCCGAACAAGTAAACTACAGACAATCTACCAAGCAACAACCTTCTAGGTATGTAATTTATAACAACATATAGGAAACGTTATTAATAAATTCTTTAGGGGAGAAAGAAATGAATTGAATTATGTGGAAGAACCAGCAACTACGAAAAGAATAACCACTCGCCCGACAACAACAACAACAACAACAACCACCACTACCACCACCACAACCACAACAACGACACAACGTCCTATTCCTACTCAAAAACCCATTAGAATCCCATCAAGGTACTACAAAAGTCACGAGTTGATGCTTTATATCATACTGTTGTTGTTGGCTCTAAAGTTGAAGTTGTAACATTATATCTGCTTATTTCAGCATTATTTTTGTAGTATCTTTTCCCTAGAGGTCACTTTGACATTTTATTTTTTGCTTCTATTTACTTTTTAATTAAATTAAAAATTGATACTTATTGCGTAAGCGAGTTTGTAGTACATAATATGTATTTGCTTCAAGTAGTTATTGGGGTTTATAAAGAAGGTGTTTGTTTCAACAGATTGTCCATCACTGTCATCGCGAAACAGACTCGAGCACAACCCATACATAAAACATTGCCGGCTGCTGATAGCCCGGGATACATCTCCACTAGCACCACTCATAAACCAAATCTTACCACGCCTTCTCCAAACTTCGATTTACTGTTAACATCCCTTTACCCCTCATCACATACAACAGACACTTCAACAACGACTTTTACAACAATAAAAAATGCTTTCAATGACAAAATCGAAAACATTACTGAAACACTTCCTCGAACGTATAAGCCCCCATTTCAAATGCCTGAAAGACTATTCAAATCTCAACTGTTAACTACACAAACTACTTCCAAACCATTTAGTTCGCTTACTAAGCGGAAAAGTGTTAACGAAATTCGACGTTTTCATCCAGTTAGGTCATCCAGCGACCCTACATCTAAAGTCTCGACAACCTCTGGTTATTATTTTAAACCTCGCGAAGTTATTCGTGTAAAGCTAATAACCAAGAATAACAAAACTTCGCATTCAAATATTAACAATAACGTCTCTAATAACAAGCTTATTGTCCCCACTACTTATTCTCCGCCTAAATTTTTTCTGAAGTCTTTTCTTCCAAAAGTTATAACTTCCACAACTGCTAGAATATTAGATAGTGAATTAAGTGCCACTTTAAATGTAAAGGAAATAACACAGTCGCCGCATACTGTGCTAAAAAATTTAAGAAAAGGCATTAATTCAACCTCTATCAATATACAACTCTCTGACCTGATTGAGAAACCAAACTCTGAAGAGCTTTTAGAAATTCCATACGAATTTGTTGATAACACCGATGAACCGGAGGAAATTTCACACGAAGAGAACAACATGTCAAATCATAAAAAACCAAATAATTTGACTAACGAAAATAGTTTGTATCGTAAATTTCCAACAGTTACTACGTCTGCTACTAAATTATCACTAGTGTCATCTGTTGAATTACTTCCATCTACTACTCCTACTTCTATTGATTCTTCCACAACTTTAGTCCCGTCAAATTCAACTGAAAGTTTTGCTTTACCTACAGAAGCTGCTCAAGAAGAAGAGTTATTTACGACAACAATAAAAATATTTCTTAACGAAAGTAACCAACGGTTTTCTAAACCAAAGACTTTTAAAGCCACAGTTGAAATACCACCACCGTCTGCTTTTCTGTTTGATTCCGAAGACGTTTCTAAACCTGAACCGGACTTGCCTCCAGTCTACAAAGTCAAAGCTATTGAAATAACGAACAATTCGACTAACAAGACAGTTGTGAACAGTTCCCAAAGAACCTCTTTTCCTGCAAGAGTTTCCCGGGTAAACAATTCCATTAAATCTCTTATCGCTTTCGGTGGACTCCGAAAACCTATTCCAAAATGCTCTTCCAATGCAAATTGCGACGAAATGATCCAGAGGTATATATAAGAATTGACCAAAATAACGATGAATAACGTGCATGTCGAATAATCCTTCTGCACATATAACGCTTTCTATTTATCTTTATACACGCTTCTTGCTCTCAGTTTTTTAAATTACTCAAGTAAGTCGTAGCCCTTAAAACTGGAGGTTGACTGGACTGTTACCCTTTGACGCTTAACCAGCAAAGCACTCCTCACCATTACCTCTCTCATCAAATTTTTACACTTAAGACGGACCTGTATAACTTGCTCGTCAATACTACCTACAGTTTAACAAATCTTAGTTACAGTGACATGGCGATTTTTGTTAATACGTTCAGCCACTAATAAGTTCCCTTCGCAAACAGTTAAAATCCATATGAATTGTATACAATTGTATACCAATATACATAAAATACAAAGGTAGACTGTAGAGAAATGTAAAATAAAAAAGTTTCTGGTCTTAACTGACTGCGATTACAACTAAACTCTTATTTATTATCAAATCTGCAAAAACATTTCTTAATTATGTCCGCTAGGTCACTGTAAAAGATGCGTATGTATATCTAGATTGTGCATGAGGATTGCTACATTAGTTAATTCACCTGGTGTATTAGGTAATAGAATTGATAATGTTTTTTATAGAACTGGTAATCGCGGAAGAGGATCATCACATTACACCGTAGGAGTCAATGATCAACCAGTAGTAAATCGCGGTACACCACCACCGTAAGTAAATTGCATCTTATATTTAAAGACTTTGGAAAGCTGCTAAACGAAAATTACTTTTCTCTTCATACTGAATATAGGGATAAGATTTCTCTCACCTATCCAACTTTGTTAGTTGTCATTACAAAGCTTCTTAGAGGCACCTTTTACTCTTTCTAATTTTGAAATCCTTAATTATCCCTTTGTGATACTTCCGGAGAAATCAGTAAATTCACATTTATTTATTTTCGAAAAACTAGAGCAACCTACATCTCTATTTGTATTTGCGAACAGTAACTAAATCTAAATCTACTTCTGCCTCTCTTAACTTTCGCTACTTCTGATATGTCTCTAACCCTTCATGCCTGAAAAGGTGTCCTACACATCTATCTCGCCTATTTGTTATTAAGAAATTTTTTGATATGGTATCATTCAAATGGTCTTGTGGCCTACTAACTTTAAAAACCCTTAATTTAATTTTAACTGATCGTGAACTTATTTTATTAGACGTTCGAGACCAACGTTAAAACCATCCACATCGATTGTGTCAAAAGCCGCCGAGTATGTTGATATATACAGATATCCTCCAAGGAGACCAGATCCACTTTATCCTCAACCCCAACCAGACAAAACTGCTGCAAAATGCAGGAAAGATGTTTGCTTGTTACCTGATTGTTCCTGCGGTGGTAGAGACGTTCCCGGTAAGCAATTAACCATTCTAAATTATTAAATGAATTGTAAGATATGTAGTTCATAAAGCAAGGCAGAGTTTTATAAGAGAAGGTCAGTGGTAATATGTGTGGAAATGTTGTACTGATTAGGAAATTTGACCGTGAACGATGTTCCTCAAATGGTGCTGCTTACATTTGACGATGCCGTCAACGATTTAAACAAAGGTTACTATGCAGAACTATTCGATCATGGACGAGTTAATCCAAATGGCTGTCCAATTGCCGCTACCTTTTATGTGTCCCATGAGTGGACTGATTATTCACAGGTGCAAAACCTGTACGCCGATGGTCATGAAATGGCTTCCCATAGTGTATCGTAAGTGGCATCATCTGAGCAAACTATGGACTCCACGGCTATTCTTAACTTCATTATCTTAACTCCTCAACTTTTACTGTTCAACTTTGTCGTTTACTTAGCTTGTCATTGATTTATTACTTGGTATCCAGTCTACAAACTGCAAAAATCTCTATAGCGTTCGTTCTGCGGAGATTGTTTTTGAAGAGATTATGAGCGTTAAATCATGGTTAGATATAATATGATATACATATCTACTTCTGAAATAAAATGTTTGGGATGTTTACATGACATAATGTCTCAAATTTGTCAAATAGTGTACATACTCGGTTACCTATTGTTTTTTAAAAATACTTTTACTTTATCTACTTTCGGCGTCATTTGTCAAACTGAAAATGAACTAAAGGCTGCCTCACCTTTATTATTCGGTTATTAATTTTGTTTATCTGAAGATATTCTAAATTATATACAGGAGACAGACAAACATAGAATTCATAAAAAAAACATTATTCCTACCTTTTCTACTTGGCAATTATTCATTTTTCTTTTAAATTAGTGTAAAGAATCTTATTGATATGTGTATGATTCATTTCTATATGTGTACCTATTTTTTGGCATGCTCGTAAACTTCTACCTTATCTTTACTGTGTCTTTCTGCTTACTAACTATCAGGTGAAGTACCTGTTGAACAAGTCCCGCAAATAGTTCTCCTTACATTCGACGATTCTGTGAATGATCTTAATAAGGGATTATACAGCGACTTATTCGAGAAAGGTAGAGTCAATCCTAACGGATGCCCAATTTCTGCCACCTTCTATGTTTCCCATGAATGGACAGACTACAGCCAAGTGCAAAACTTATATGCTGATGGTCACGAAATAGCATCCCATACCGTTTCGTAAGTGGATAATGTTATTGTGCATTTTATTTGCAAGCAAAACACCAAAAGACGTCTCACAATGAGCTTTCATCAGAACATACAATACATAAAATACTACATAAAAAAAAGCAACACGTGCAACTCACTAAACGTGAAAGAAGTGAAACTTCTTTGGCGATCTCTATCTCTATACCTTTATAGCGAATAAGCAATTATTGGTGAAAGAGAGTACGAGAATTTTCAGGATTTGTGTTTTTCAAAATATTTTATCTTTAGTTCACCTAAGGAGTATTACTTTAATACGTTTTTATGTAATTCAGTAACAAAAAAATGGTCAATTTTTTTCGCTTCCGTTTATTTTTCCAAGTGCTTAAGAAACCGTAAACTATCAATAACTACAAGCAATTACAATTAATACATAATAATACTCACTCTTAAATAAATATTTTATCTTTAGTTCGCCTAAGGAAGATTACTTTAATACGTTTTTATGTAATTCAATAACAAAAAAATGGTCAATTTTTTTCGCTTCCGTTTATTTTTCCAAGTGTTTAAGAAACCGTAAACTATCAATAACTACAAGCAATTACAATTAATACATAATAATAATCACTCGTAAATAAATATTAATTGTTGTTAAATAAATATTTACTGTAATATAACTGCACAGATATAACCAAAAAAATTAGTTTAGCACTATAGTTTAGTGAATATACATTATACTTTAATATATGAGATGCCGGTCACTAACAGCTGACTGTAATACCGATCTCCTCATGCGCGCCTTTCTATTCGCTTCGCGAGACGAAACGTTGCAAAACGTATCGTTTCGTGACTTTGAGATTTTACTCTCATCGAGCCCAAAGAAGTTTCACATCAAAAAACTCAATGATTGTTTAAAATATATTACCATTTTATATTTCCCTAAACAATCTAGCGTGTATACATTTAATTTTGTTGGAGAATTTTAAACGCCTTTCGTATGTGTTATTTCGATTAAAGCTCCTAATAAGAGACCATGTATGCACAATGCCTATATTTAAGTGGTAATGATTACCTACACAAAGAAATTTACTGCAGAAACAATTTCATTTTCCTATTCTATTACATTTATGTACTTTTCTGTTGATCTAATTTCTGCTACATATAAAAACTAAGAAACTTTTTTCATTCTTTTTGTAAGTAATGTTTCATTTTTTACACGTAAACGCTTTATTATTCTTATGGCTTTGTACATTTTATATATTTATTTGAAGTATATTTCAAAATTTCAAACTAATTTAATAGGCACAGCTTTGGAGAACAATTCTCACAAAAGAAATGGACTAAAGAAGTGGCCGGACAGCGTGAAATCTTAGCAGCATATGGTGGTGTCCATCTAGAAGATGTTAGAGGAATGAGAGCTCCATTCTTATCAGTAAGACATGAAAAATAAAATTATTTAACTGTTAGGTACTAAACAATGACCATAATTAACAGGTTGGTGGAAACAAGATGTTCAAGATGCTGTACGACTCAAACTTCACCTATGATTCTTCCATGCCCATCTATGAGAACAAACCACCAAGCTGGCCGTATACTTTGGATTACAAACTTTTCCATGACTGTATGATACCGCCTTGTCCTACCAGATCATTTCCGGGACTATGGGAAGTTCCCATGGTCATGTGGCAGGACCTTCAGGGTGGTCGGTGTTCTATGGCTGACGCTTGCAGTAATCCACCAGATGCAGACGGCGTGTATAAAATGCTAATGAAGAACTTTGACAGACATTACACATCGAACAGGTAAACAATTTACTCGTTCTATCGTATAAACACTTCACTCACGCTATGTGTCTTTTACATTCCAACCATTTAAAAGTGTTGTCAAAAGTAAGATAGATGTATTCCATGCTCTTGCCTGTTCTACCAATTTTTATATCTGAAATATCTTGTATTTTTAAGACAAAACCCTCTAATTCAGTTACACCAGTGTAGAAAATGATACATGTATCTAAATGCTGAATTTACATATTTTATACCTGACATTATTTCCTTTTTAACCGATGATGCCAAGGATTGCAAAACCTGTGAAATTTTTATGTACATTTCGCAGTTTTAAATAACGAGCATATTCTACTTGCAAAAATTATTGAAGCATAGAAGGCTAAGCACTTTAAAGTCGTAAAGTAAACAGCGATCTATGATTCATGTTCCAGACACGATAATTTTTCATTCTGTTTTCTTTACTTCTCAAAAATATTAAATACTAATCGTCTATTACAGAGCTCCATTTGGGCTTTTCTACCACGCCGCCTGGTTTACTCAGCCTCATCACAAAGAAGGATTTATCAACTTCTTAGACGCCATTAACAGCATGAAAGACGTCTGGATAATCACAAATTGGCAAGCAATTCAATGGGTGAGAGACCCCACTCCGTTGTCCAGGATAAATTCGTTTAAACCATTCGGGTGCCACTATCCAGTAAGTTTTAAATAGTTGAAAGTTTGATCAAATTGTAACATACACAACAGTCCTTTAAATGATACTTTGAAAGTTTCTTTGATTTATTGCAAGCTAGGAATTTAACATTTTATCAAACTTATTTAGTCGACTCGATCAGCTAGCCCTTTAGTAGATATGAAATGTGGTTAATATTAGATTAATTTGCAGTCACAGTTTTTAAAACAGAATGCTTTAATTTTTTACTGAAATGTTTTTAATAGTTTTTAAATTTTCAATTCTCCTCATAAAAAAGGGCTACTTGTCTGTAGCATTTCAGTGCATACTTTCATGTCTTATTTTTAAAGGTTTGTGTTTTTGAATTGTGGTTTGCTCCAATTTCTTAATTCATGTTTGTGCTAGCAATTGTGAATATTAATTGAAATCTTTCTTCATCAGGACAGGCCAAAACGTTGCAACAATCCAAAAGTATGTAATTTATGGCACAAATCCGGAGTAAGATACATGAGAACTTGTCAACCATGTCCTGATATATACCCATGGACCGGAAACACCGGAATCCGAAGCAGTAAAATCGACAATGACATCGAAGATTAGATCATACGAACTGCCAAATTATTTTATAATATTAATTGCATAGGATAACCAACTCTTAAATGAGATTGTTTATCATCGCAGTTAAAATTTACTATTAAGTAACGATTTTTATCACATCCGGTAGGGGCTGATAAGATTTATTCCGACTATGCTACAAATTCTTCAATTGTATGTACCTACGTCTCACAAATAGTATACAGATAACCTCAAATATTAAAGATTTTAATGTGTTACATTACCTCCCAATCTTATCAGCCGCTATTTAAAGAATCTAAGTTGCTATGGTGTCTAGCTACATCGCTAAGTGATGTTTACATACCACAGCAACATTTTTAGACAAAAACCCTATATTGTAACTAATTGTATATAATCCCTTAACGTAACTTATTAAAGGTGAAATACTCTGGATATTGAATATTGTCCATCTCTATATTCAAACCTGTTAAAAATTTTTCAAAACATCATTACCGATTTTTGTAAATAATTCCACCAGCTGGAGGGAACAACTAATAAATAAGCGTGATGTCATTTATTTTATTATTCAACCGCAATTTCTAAAACAAATTATTTTTTATCGTCCTCGCACACCTGCGCTATTAAATAATAAAATCCTCATGAATACGAAGTTTTCCTTGAATCCTGAAAATGTTTCCTTTCTTATTATAGTTTTCTACCAACTATGAAGGTAGTCGTCGTTCTTGTTGTAACTTTTCTTATAAGTGCCAGTGTGTGTTTAAAAATTTCACCGAATTCTACAAGATACGTAAGAGCATTACAGAAAGAACATGAAAAATCTCAGGAAGATAAATGGATCGATGCATTTTTCGGGAAAAAACCAGCCTCAAATATCCAAAATTCCTTAGCTGCTTTATTACTGATGATTTCGAAAACATATTTATATAAATGTGCTACAATTCTCCTTTATGATCAACTATCGATGAAGACGTATCCATTTTTACTAGATAAATTATTGAGAGAATTTTCATTTGATTTCGTTATGGGACAAATAAGCGAAGATTATAAATTACTTAATGCAGACCTGCTTCAATCGTTTCCTAACAAATGCGTAAACTACGTGTTGTTCGTATACGATATCATGAAGTGCAAGCATTTAATTGGAATACAACATACTAATAAAGTTGTAATCGTATCGTCCTCGTCGCAATGGAGAGTACATGAATTTTTGCATAGCGACATATCGCACAGTTTTGTCAACGTTCTTGTTGTAACACAATCCGATAAAATAGTTTCGGAAAACGAGGTAATCTTTCTATGATTCTATTTTACAAGATTATAGTTAAACACAGTATATAAACAACTATAACGTCTCTAACGCGAATTTCAAAGGACCGCGAAACTAATGGGAGCTATAGTGATGTAAACATTTTAAGTTAACAATACACTACTCTTAAGAAAGGATTTAAGTTCTTAGTCAATAATTTCTAGAAACTTCCAGAAGTAGGTAGTCTCTAAAAATCATCACCAAAGTATTCCATATCAGCATGTTTATGTGCCTAATATAGAGTTACGGTAGTATGCGTTTATATTTGCAGCTAACTGGAAATTTTGAAAGTATTAGATAAGGATCTCAGTAACGATTAAGTTATAAAAAAGGATGTAAAGTGTTTGTCAGTAACCCGTCCACCACTGACATGTTAAACCATGTATTATATAAGAAGTTTTGAACAAACCACTTATCTCCAGTGATGTAACCCACGTGAAGAAGGGGGGCGGGTTAAGGTGTTCAAATTTCAAATGCTTTCTTTCAATTATGTAACAGTATGATAAGTGTCAGAAGCAATTACTGTACTGTACAGGTACTGACACTGCAATAGGAACAACGAAGCAATACGTTGGAAAGTTGATTGTACCACAGTCATTTGATTTTTTGTAATAATAAGTAACAAATTTCGTCGTAAATACATTAAATCTGATTATTATTGTGGAATATATGAACGGTAACATCTGGAGGCACTGTAGAGTACATCTCGTTATATCGCCGTAATGTAGTGAGTCTAAAAACAAAAAGTACCCCATTTATGAACCATCATTCAATGCCAACATTTGTTAGGTTGGTGGCCGCGTTATCTTATTGCCCTTCGTTATCGCAAACGTCTAGTGACGAAAAACACGTACTTATTCGTGACCTTCGCAGCAGCTGGTAAGCAGTCAGGCCAATTGCACGTAATGACGATTAATAATAGTATGCACTCCATAGTTACCGTTGGATTGGCAAAGTTACTGCTATTACCACAAAATGGAAAAATAATTTTAGTTTGAAAATATCAACCAAAAAACAACGTATTTGAACACAGAATACACGGACATGGTGATGACCACATACAGACGGTGCAATGAGAATTCACTGGCGACATCACACAGGAAGTGTGGTTCCGCAACGAATGAATGAGGGCCAGCAAAGACGACAGATCAGTACTGACGAAAACGCCATTATACTAACTATGTACTTTTCTATACTGATCTATCCTATAGCTAACACAATGACCTAATTCAGTCAGATCGGCTGACTACTTACATAGGTACATACGTAGAAGTTTACAACATTACAGGAAGAAAGAACTATTCTAGACTGGATGTAAACATAAACATCGTCAATCACATTTAATCTAACAAATAAACAATATATGAGTACAAAAATGCAAAAGAAATGCAACGCGAATGTGCCAACAGATTTAATACGGCGTTAAATCCTTCCTTCCTTAATTTTTCCGGGGTACTAATCAGACATAGTGTATAAGATGGAACCACGCAATCACATAATTCTTCGACTGGAAAGATACACTCGATCGGAATATTATTTTTGTGCTGGTCGGCGTACAATATCACTTTATAACAAACAACGATTTTTGGCTTTGATGATCATAGCTCTTAAGCGATGGATCACACCATTTGAATAAATACAAGAAATAGTTCGTTGTCATAATAATCACAATCATTAAAATTTACATTATACAATTCTCTACATATTTTTAAAAAGTTGTTTTATTCAAACCACTTTCAGACACGATTTATCCAAGCGTAGGACAAATTATTATTCTGTCTCAGTTGCAACACATTTGTTAATGGTAACTATTTTCCCTGTAGTTAATTAAATTTTTATTTTTGTTTAGTTCTTTTCAACAGTTGGTAAACACTTCCCATAAAATGTTCTACTGTCAGTAGTATAAACTTAATACAAAAACGGAAAGAGTAGTATGTTCGGATCATTAACGTTTAAAGTAAATTTTTGCTTGTAGCTTGGCAATTGTGTAAATTGTGATGTAATTTCATAGTATTCTTGTGCGTTGCCTTCTTTCCTAATTTAGTTGATAGTAGATTTGCCACTTTATGCCTTATCTACTAATCTACTACTTTTAAATATCGTTTGCAAGTTTCCATCTGTACTTTCATTGACGGTTAACATTGTTTAAATAAGCAAAATTCGGCGAGTCGATTCTGACGTCTGTTTGTTGAGGCTAAAAAAAATTCCGACGATGCCGTGCGTTCCTTGCGTGCCGTCCATTCGATTCTGACCTCAGTATAATTACAAAAGAAAGTCATATCGCTAATCAAGAAAGACTTAATCGATTTGAAGAAAGCCAATGCCAGAAAACTAAGTCGAGAGTGCCCGTCAAGCAGAACACGATCTTCCACTGTCGATAGCCGACAATCCCAACTTTATGGGGCGCAAGTTGGCTCACCTTTATCAAGCCCTGAACAGGTAAACATTCAAAAACTGGACGGAACTACTTTATTATTCATAGAAGGATCTATAAATCACCACAATATTAAAAAGATTATCGACACAGGGGCATCCAACAGTTTCGGAATGGCGAATTCATCCTTTCACAAAAAGACTGATCAACTGCAGCTATTGAAGAGACTTAACAATTCTTGAGAATGCAACGTAAAAATTAAAATTGGAAATGTGATTTTATACAGTTGGGTATATGTGGCCGACATAGTTTATGATGCCATCATTAGAGTAGACCTTTTCTACATTGAATCGACTTAAATATCAGCATCTCTACAATGTGCATTGGTGAACAAGAGATAGTAATGCCAAATCCTAAGACGAAGCGTGCCGCTAATAAGGTGATCGTAGAGAAAGGTCAAGTATTACGGAGCCATTTCTAGAGCATTGTAAGTGTAAGTATCATGAAGGCATCGGCGGATTAGTGGGAGTAGTTGAACCAGACAATCCAGACTTAACCCAGAAAACAATAGAATAGCCAATTTATAGATTCGACTAAAGGATGTACCAGGGCACAGAGTTGAGAACCGGGTCGGTAAAATTCACCATTATGAATTAGGAGAAAAACCTGAGACGAAATTATCATGAGCCATTTTCAACATGTTTTCGCCCTTTCTGACCAAAACTTCGGTAGGACCAGCTTAACATACCCCCGCATCTATACTGAAACAGTAAGGCCTATCAAACAATTACCTAGAGGTGAATCAAGATGCACTGAACAATCTTATAAAGAAGATGCATAAACAAAAACCATCTCAGACCTCTTTGGCTTTGCCCATAACGCTGCTACCGCAAGAAAAATGGTTATCTAAGATTTTGTGTGGACAACATTCTAAACTTAAACGATGTAACACAGGACAGTAAACCATTCCCACCAATCGACAACACACTTGACATTCTGTTTGGAGCTAAATAGTTCTCTACTCTCCATTTGAAAAGTGGTTACTGGCAAGTGGAAGTGATAAAGAGAAGACTACATTTACGATTGGAAATGGTGTAAGGTGATGCCTTTTGGATTATGCAATGCACAGGCTGCTTTCGAAAAACTCATTAGAAGTACTAAACTAAAAAATTTATTTAGTTTACTTAGACGACATAATCATAATACAAACAACACGATAATGCAGATGTCCTTGCATAGAAAACTGCAAACATTTTCACCTGCGGAGAAAAATATAGGATTGACACCGATCTGTTGTAATAAGAGTACCATTCCACCTAACGGATAGTATGAAAATAATGAATTAATCATATCAGATAACGAAAAGCTATTGGGCCTAGTAGAATTCCCTTATCTTAGACTACGGCGTTTTAATAAATATGTGGAACAGTCTAGATACAACCTGAAATAAATTTCAAATAGTACTTCCAAAGAATAGGGTGGCATGCGACATGCACCGCCAGTAAAGGGACCGAAGACAGGAATGCATGGACGAATGCCGCATATATTGTACGTTGTAACGTGGGAACGCTTTTTGAGGGAATTACAATCGACGTGGCAGGACCATTCCTGATGTATCAGTTATCTTAGTCGCTATTGTTGAAGATATTATCTATAGCTGGAATGTTCGAGATAGAGTATCAATAGAGTATTCATCCTGACCAAGCCAGGGAAGTCGAGAGAGTTTTGTACTACAAGAAGGTCACTGAAGTAATGAGCATTATAAAAGCGAGGACTACGCCCTTACTAACGCTACATTGAAGACCAAATTAAGATACTTCATCAACGACTACCAAACTGAGTGGGACCTACATATATCTCTATTCCTCTTAGCTTATAGATCCACCATCTATGAAGTAACTGGAAAAACACTGGCCGGCATTTTATTTGGGAATGAATACAGATTTCCAGAGGACATAATTTTTGGTTGCCTTGGAGCCTCTCCAATGTCTACCCACGAATATGTGCGCAAGCTACAAGAGCGACTAGAAGTAATCCATAATACTGCGTGTAGGAAGCTACGATTAGAAAGTGACCTCATGAAAAGCCGATAGAGCCAACTCGCGACAAATTATGGTTAAACAATCTATCAAGATGGAAGAGACATTACTCGAAATTACACAAGCTTGGGATGGTCCATACACCGTTACTTAATGCATTAATGACGTTGTCTATCAAATTCTGGAAGGACTTTGACCAATATGAAGGTCGTCCATCTTGATTGACTTGGCGACGTCAGTGATCTGGATTATCAGTTTTAGGAAGGGGGGGGGGATGTTACGTATAGGCGACCCACTATACCTCAACAGCCCTGTAGTGAGTTGCCTAGATACAGCTAGGAACTAAGAAGACCAGATTCACTACATTGAAGAGTTTAGTTCGAGTTCCAGTTACGGAGCGATAAAAAGTGACATAAGAAGAGTGAAACAACGATAGTGTGATATAGTAGTGAACGAGTAATTAATTTATACGAGGGTGGATTGATAAGTTTCCGGCCTAACCAAGAGATGACGCCACTAGGCCTACCTTGAGGTGACATTCTATAGTACCATCCTTGGATAGCTTGTAGCTATAGTTTCAGCCCGATCTCCTTGCTAGTGTAGGTTTGACAGCACGCTGAACAAGACGCCTCTGTGGTTTTCGTAAAAATGGAAAAGCAGGAAAATCGT